TTTTTTCATCTGTGAATTTGATGAAGATGGATGTATGTGAAAAATGTCCATGTAGAGTACTTTATGTTGTATGGGAAAAGTTACTCTTAAGAGTGATATAGACTACCTACTTTACAAAGGGTTTTGTATTTGTTTATTGTCTCCTGTGCAAAGAAAAGAAACTCTCTACAGTGTCTGTTCCTTGATGATACCCAAAGGTATGCAAATTGCTGAGACCTTCTGATTTCTCAAGGTCAACTCAAACTGAAGGCAATCATTCCTCATCCAACTTAGCTGAGCCAAGTTGCTTGCTTTGGCACTGGTACCGCATCAGAAAAAAGCAGATTTTTCTTGCTTGTGGGCAGGTGGTTAGAATACCATATAGAGCTCATTTTTGACTGTCAGGCTTGAAATTTTTTCTCAGCCAAGGACAGATATAAGTACATCTGTTAACTATTAAACAATGAAGAAAAAAACTTTGCAAGGGTTCAAAATGTAAGGAAAAACAGGTTCAGATGTAAGGGGGAAAAAAAATCCAGACCAATTTCTGTAAAAAAGACGAAAAAGATAAATGTAATTCTATTACATTCTGCTCAAGAAAATTACTGCAATGCTCGTAGACCCTGTTCATAAGCCAGTGAAAATTTAACTGCAATTTGAGCATATTACTAACCTGTCAAAGACTTCAGTAAAACCTCAAGTATTTTTTTTTGCATGCACCTGTATAGTTTTTAACAGGTGTTTAAATACTATGTATCAAAACAAGAGGATTTTAATGCCTTTGTCTGTGCTGTTCCTAAAGCAAATCTTTTAAATGGCAAGGTTATGTGGCATTAAACAATCTATATTTATTTTTATTTCAAAGATGGCAGATTTGAGAAAGTGGAAAAGTACTCTTTTTTCATAGAGACATTCTGAAATGTAAAAGATTGTTCAGTAATTATAACCAATGCTAATGAAATGATACAAAATGAACAAATACTGTTAATTATTACCCAGACCAATTGTTCTCCTAAGAATTAATTCATACATCTTCTGAATTTAATTAAATGCTTCCTGTGTGCGAGCTAACAAGGAGGTCAAGATTACAGTCAAAGTCAGAGAAATGAGACTAAGAATACTCAACTAAAAAAGAAAAAAGTTCTTTCATTACTTTCAAAATATACAGTGTGTTATTTACTGCATTTCTTTTGTAGCAAAGGTCTCTCACGAGGAGTTGATGTAAAATTCCTGATAAATTGTGCTTTTAATTGAGATTTGTCTTGAGATTTGTGAATTTTGTTGTTGCTGTTGTTGTTGAAGACTGCTCGAAGCATTCCAAATTAATTTAACTTTATATTGTATTAATTTTTCACAGAAATATTGATCATCATACTTATAATTGTCCTGACTGAGAAATGGATGCCGGTGGCCTGTAAAGCAGGCAAACTCTTAAGAAAATGGGTTGAGTCAACACTTCTCATGAGGTTGTTATACAATTTTTGTTAATAATTTGGCCTTCTGGGATTGTACAAAAAAATGGGTAATAGTTTTCCTTGGGTCTGTCTAGGTAAAATGGTTAGCTAGTGAAATGAGTGAGTGGTAGTTTGTACATCTAGAGCAAGAGCCATTTTGCCAATATAGCACATGTGCTCTCATAATTTAGGTCTGGGATTAAATTGTTTCATTTCTGCAAGATTCATGTGAGGGAGGGGCAGCATTATTAACACACTATTTTTGATTATCAAATGATCTGTTCTCCCTTCATAGGTGAGGAAACTACAAATTTGGAAGTTTTTTTATTCTTAAAAAAAATCAACATAATCTTTGCAACAGTAATTAAAAATAACCTACTGTTAATAACTGAATATGGTTTTCTGAAACCTGTAGCCTGGTTTGCTTATGTGGATGGTTTATTGATCTGTTGTGAAGTAATTCAGCAATGAAATGATCTTGAAAATTAAAACCAATATTAAGTAATGGATGATCCAATTTACTGTAACATGAGCTTATTGCCACAGTATGTTACTAATGCATGCAGTGAAAAATAAAACTTTGTTTTTAAATTTCACCTGTGTTCCACAGGATGGTTTTTGCAGGAGGATTGCTAAAGTGGATACAAATTCCCTAGGTACCTGCCCTATGCAAATACTACCATAAAATTTTGAAAGAATTGTTTTAAAAGTTTATTTTCTTGCCTCTCATTTTCACAGGTATACAGGTACTTATTGTTTATAATATATGTTGATTTTTTTTTTTTTTTTCTATTAGACCTACATGTGGGAAAAATCTGGTATTTATATACCCCCACAGGTGAAATAGCAGAAGGTTTTACATTTATCTGCTGACCTTATAGAAGGATTTATCCATGCAGTATCAGTACTATCTACTAAAGTAGATAATTAGAACTGCTGCTTCAGTTTCTTTTCCATTTATTTTTCTCTCCCCTATTCCCTTAATACATTTATTAACATAATAAATTTTAATTCTATTTCCTCTAAGTCAAAGCTTCTTTTGTATAATCATCTGCTTTTTTCAATATGAGAATTCGTACATAATTCTTCTTTGATCATTGTAAGAGTCTTTTTTTATTATTATTTCTGCATAATTGTAGCAAATTTTTCTGGTTTATGATAGTTATTTCAATAATAGAGAAGAAATATATATTTTCCTATGTTGTAGGAATAATAAAAAGAACCAATGATAATTACTGCACTCTGTAAGATTTCTGTTTTTCCTTTAGGCCTTAAAGAGCACACTATATGTTAAGCTTTTCTGTTTTCACAGGGTGTCTGCAAACCTCTGCAAAACCTATCCATGCAGGCCAAGTTCTTTCAATTTTTGTTTCCAGGTACTTAGTGCAAGAGCCTTCCCCTCCTCCCCCCCTCCATTTTCCCCCTTCCTGTTACTGATTTCCAAATCATAATAAAGGAGATTTTTTGGAGGTAGGGGTTTGTGTCTGATCTGAGATTAAGTCACTGGCTGGTATTTGCCATATTATTTTCCTGACATTTATGAAGTAAACCTGTCAGCAGAATTAACTTTCAAATCCTTCCATTCTTCTGAGTAAAATTCAGTATTGAACATGAAGTATAGAAAGGTACAAAACTTTATGACAGTCTACTCTTCTGTATTCAGGAAGATGAATGGAAGAGAAAATTAAATATTTTTGAGCTATTGTTTGCATTATCACGGATGGAAGATATTAATTTAATAATTTTCAGATTGTCTAATCAGACAGAATGGAATTAATGGCCAACTTCTCTGAACTTTTATCTTAAAACGTGTCTAGCAAGATATAGTCTCACATGGTACTTTATAAAAAAATAAAATCAGTGAGGCAAAACATTATGGTATCTCAAAACAAAAATAATGTTAATAATTTTTTTGTCCAGACTGAATATTCTACTTGGATAGTTACATTATTACGGAAGTAATCTTGTTTAAGTAATCATGTATTTACTAATTCAGGACAGTTTTTTGTTTTGAACGGTTAAGGAACACAGTCTTGAATTCAGTTTAATACAATACTGTTCCAAAGAAAGATTAAAATCACATCACCTTTTTCTGCAAATAAACAATTATTTTTTCATCTTCCAATGAAAGCACAGGTAGAACTTCCATTAGAATATTGTTCTGACATCCTCATTCTTTCAGCTGCCTCTGAAGCTGTTTGAAAAAGCACTGCTTGAAATTTGTGACTTGCAAAGTAAATAATTATTATTTTTATTTGACTAACAAAGTCAAATAATGTTAATAAAATGCACTTTTGAGGAATCCATGTTCATCTAGTATTTCATGGTGTCCAGGTTATTAATTAACTTGATCCTGTAATGTCCTCACACCCGCACAAACCCCCAAGCCAAACAAGCCTCACCAAATCCAGTTTTCCTATTTGACCTGTGAATATCCCTGATCAGTGCTATTGCACAGTTCAACTGAATCTCCTGGTGAAGGTGATTTTCTCTCTCCAGTTGAATTTCTTTAGTTTTAGAATGTGCTCCTTGTGCGTCCTGCTTTGGGTGAATGTCTTCCCAATGGTGAAAAGAGATGAGCACCTGGAAGCAACAAGCTAGATCAAAAGGTTCTCTCTGTCTATGGACAGATGTGGTTATTCAAAATAAAATAGGAGATATCACTATCTGTAGTACCATCTGTAAATGCTTTGTTGTGGTAATAACTTGGTGTGCATGATAAAATCATCTCTCTGCACGAATAACTGCAGAATAGCTGATCCAATCTGAAGAAAGCAAAAGTGTATGGTAGAAGACAGACTGGAATTGTGAAAATGACAGCTACTCAGAAACTATAGACAGGAATTGTGCATGCTCTGCACCTCAGCTTTAGAACTCACCTGTACTTTGTCATTTTGTAATATCAAGGTATGCTGAGGCATTGCTTCAGTATTAATTTCTGTGGAGAACACCTTGAATCATCTATGTAAATTATTTATTAATTATTTTTTTTCCTTCCCTAGCACTTAGCTTTCTCTTAGAGGTTTGCTTTAAGTTTAGCCCATTATAGCTGGGGACATCCTAGCCCCAGGACAGAAGGATTACAGGAATCCAAGCTCCCAACCTGAGGCAATTTCAGATATAACGCACTATTTTTTATTAATACCTAATGCTACCCCAGAAGAAAAACATTCTCAATGCAATATCTTTATTTGACTGCAACATGTGTCTCCTGCATTTACCTGAGATGGTGAATCTGATGGTTCAAAAATTGCCACTACAGAGCTGGAAATAAAAATCCCTTAATCATATTTAATTGAAAAGTATTTTGTTTCCTGTTGTGATGTGATTTCTGCCAAAGTAACTTTGTAAACAGGCCCTGATGGTGCAACTGGATCATACAAAATTATTATGTACTTTCACTTGAGTAGCACTCTTGAATTATAAATCACTTCAGCATTGGTGTTTTTTTAGCAAGTGTTGGTAAGTCAAATTCCAAAACAATAAATATGTGAATTTTCCTAACAAAACATTGCAATTTTTTTCTTTTTAACTGATTAGCCATTTTTTCCCCACCATTCTTTTTAGAACAATTGGATACAAAAAGAAGTATGTGAAAGTTCCACATGGGCATATTTGGGTGGAAGGCGATCACCACGGACACAGCTTTGACAGCAATGCTTTTGGCCCAGTAAGTCAGCTTTCTGTATATCATTTACACTTTGCAACTGAAAAGCAGGGCATGTCTCCTGGGTTATTTGTGCGACATAGTAAGTATGTACTGTTTGTGATTGTATTTGTATTATTTTTTTGAGAATTATTGGGGTGTCTAAAATCTCTTGGTCAGCAGAGATTGAGTTTGAAGTTAACTATTATAAGAATAAAGACTCCTTTTAATTGTCTCATATGGAAGGAAAAATGATATGGATTTTAAATGTGGAGGAGTAGCCAGAGGGTGAGCCAGCACCATGTAGCTGACAGATGCTCCCTGGGGACATGTTGTCAGGTGATGTTATTTGGATTTGTTACTTCCTGGGAGCTTGGTCTTGCTTTAGAGCCAGTGCTGGGATAAGAATTAGGAAACTGTAGCTGTCCTTAGTAAGTGTTAACTGTTAAACTGATCTGTGGACAACAGTAGGGATATTTCAAAACTTTCCCCCAAAAAAGTATTTGAAGTTTGTTTATATAGGGCCACCTTTCATAGTGAGTAATGAAAAAACCATAATATAGAACATCTGTTTCTTGACTGGTAAAAATGTGCATGTATTCATCATAAAAACAGTAAATGCTTTCTCTGCACTCCAGTTTTGTTTGCTTTTTGGTACACTTTGTGTGGATTCCTGTTCTTGCCTAAGCTTAATCTAGCATGCAGGAAATAGTTCCATAAGCTTGATCTCATTTTTTTTTGTGTGTGTGCTTGTATTTCATACAGATTCTCATTATCATTTTCTTGCTACAATCTTCTAAGATTCTTAACATCTAGTTTTAGAGGTTCTTTCCAGCAGAAAATAAATTCTGTCTGTCCTATGCAGGTATCCCTCACCTCCCTTAGTAGGCTTTTCCTTTTGTGTCTTGCTGTCTGTTCCCAAAATAAAACTTAAGTCGTAAAGCCACTAATCGTCTTTTCACTTACAAGTACATCACCAATATAGACTCAGGGCATAAGGAAACTTTAGCAGTTGGGCACGGGTTTCAGATTTACAGCAACTCACACAGGAATTAATAAAAGTTAAAACCCTCAAGGTAGTCTCCAAGAAGAGTTCAAACAAGGTGTCATGTTGGGGCAAATCTAAATACCCTCCTTTTTTTCCCCTCAATTCACTGATGTTTATAAATGTTACAAAGTGCCTTCACTAGGCTTTGACTTCACATGAATCATCAGCTCCTTGCTAACATCAGGCAGTATGTCACTTTTCTTACAGAAGAAGGGCCTTTCAAGAGCTAGTAAGACAGTTTTTGACAGTGAATTCTTCAGCTTCTGCAAGAAGAATGACCTTTGTATTGTGTTGGTGAATACAATATGGGCACATAAGTGTAAATAGGTATTTTCCTCTGAAATAAAATTAGAGCAGCAATCATTGAGTACAGGCAGAACAGGCAGAAGAGTTCACAGGGCAGGAAACTAGGGTGAGAATAATAAAATACTGAAAACTTTTGTCTGCAGAACAAAATGGGAAGTGTATGTAGAAGGACATGCTGGACTCCAGGTTTTTTTCCATTCTATACACATGTTATATTTCAGGTTACTGGGACACTTTCTACCCCTTTGTCTACTGACATCACTTGCACAAGTGAATTAAAATATTAAAATCACTCTCTTCAAAACATTCAGAAGGTATGTCCTTCTTAACTTAAGCACTTTTTCTCTCATAAGACTGCAGCAGTCATGAGAGAGAGACTGCACAATGGTAAGACCTGAACCCATTTTTCTCATTTTGTTAGAATATGGATAATTTAAGACATTAGGTTAAATGTTATGTATGTCACAATTCTGACTTGCAAACCCAGATATATTTTCTTGAATCAAAAAATTCAGTAAAAATAGTGTATAAAGTGGATTATGTTGTAGGCTACCATTTTTTTCAGTTTCATGGAATCTTATAGTGTAGACAGTCAAAGACAGTAATGTTTTCGAAATGAGCTTAACAAATTGCATAGGGCAAAAAAGAAAATTATGGAAAAACAGATTGAGAACAGATGTTAGAATCATTTTTTCTCTTGGACAATAACAATATGTGTAATGGCCTAATGGGTTAGGGTGATAAAGCAAAAACTCTGATACCAATCATGTTCTAAATTATATGCACCTTTGGAGACATATGAATTTATAAAATGTAAAGTCTTGGCAGATTAAATTATCTTTACTTAGTTAATAAAAATATTAAAAAATTGTATTGTCTTTTGTTATTGCATGGCTTTATAGAACTGAAATTGGAATATCAAGGCATAAAGAGACATTTTCCTGAAGTGTATAAATAAAATTATTTTTTTAAAACTAAAATTTATAAAGGTTTATTATTTCCTTTCTGCTTATTTGTGTTTTTGAATAAAATGAACTGATATTACAAAATGAACTGATATTACAAAACTATCAGAATATCTGTGTATAGTGCTAAATTAGAAATGCTCTCTACATTATCAAAATGTAAATATTAATTACCTTTCTAGAGTATTGGACTAAATTAAATAGTGCATAGTTATTGTACATTGTCTTTACAAAAAAAATTATAAAAAATAGCCATGCTTTGTGCAACTCAGAATGGCAGTTGCTATATAATCACAGAATCACGGAATTGTCAGGGTCGGAAAGGACCTCTAGAGATCATCTAGTCCAACTTCCCTGCTAAAGCAGGAACCCCTAGAGCACATAACTCAGGACTGCATCCAGGTGGATCTTGAATATCTCTGGAGAAGGAGACTCCACAACGTCCCTGGGCAGCCTGTTCCAGTGCTCTGTCACCCTCATAGTAAAGATGTTTTTCCTCACATTTAAATGGAACTTCCTTTGTTCCAGCTTGTGGCTGTTGCACATCATGCTGTCACTGGGAACTGCTGAAAAGAGTCTGGCTCCTTCCTCCTTGCACCCTCCGTTTAGATACTTACAGCCATTAATAAGGTCTCCCTGCAGTCTTCTCTTCTCCAGTCTAAAGAGTCCCAGCTCTCTCTGTCTTTCCTTATGAGGGAGATGCTTGAATCCCCCAGTCATCTTTGTTGCCCTCCTCTGGACTTTCTCTAGTAGTTCCCCATCTCTCTTGAACTGGGGAGCCCAGAACTGGATGCAGTATTACAGATGTGACCTCACCAGGGCAGGGTAGAGGGGGAGAATGACCTCTCTAGACCTACTCTAGGCCACAGTCTTCCTTATGCACTGCAGGATTCCATTGGTCCCCTTGGCAGTAAGAGCACATTGCTGGCTCATGGATAATTTACTGTCTACCAGGACTCTTGGATCCTTCTCCTCAGAACTGCTTCCCAGCAGGTCCACCCCTGACCTATGTTGGTGCTTGGGGTTCTTCCTGCCCAGATGCAGGACTCTACACTTGCCCTGGTTGAACTTCATTAGATTCCTCTCTGCCCAGCTCTTCAGCCCTTCCAGGTCATGCTGGATGGCAGCACAACCCTCTGGAGTATCAGCCACCCCTCCCAGTTTGGTGTCATCAGCAAACTTGCTGAGGTTACACTCTATCCCCTTGTCCAGGTCATTGATGCATGTGTTGAACAAGACCGGACCGAGTGTGGACCCCTGGGGACATCACTGGTTTCAGGACTCCAACTCTACCCTGCTCTGTTAATCACAACCTTCTGAGTTCTGACACACAGTCAGGTCTCAGTCCACCTCACTATCCACTTATCTAGTCCATGCTCCCTCAGTTTCCTAATGGGGATGCTGTGGGAGACAGTGTCAAAAGCCTTGCTGAATTCAAGGTAGATGACATCTGCTGCTCTCCCCTCATCCATCCAACCAGTTATGTAATCATAGAAGGCTAGCAAGATTGGTCAAGCATGATTGGTAAGTCCATGTTGACCACTCCCAACTACTTCCTGTTCTTCAATGTGTTTAGACTTGACATCCAGAATAAGTCACTCCATCACCTTCCCAGGGTGCTTTGATGCCACTGTGGTTCAGGTTTGGCATTATATCATGTCAGCCATTCATAATGCTGGAAATGGCTGTTTCGAGTAGTAGCCAATAACTCTTTAGAGACCTTGCATATTTTACTGTGGTTTAAGGGGATGAAATACTGCATGCCACTGCAAATTTAGTTCACTTACCTGGACTGGAATAGATATTTCTGCTCAATTAGCTGTTACTGTTTTCAAATTCTCATAGAATGAAGTCAAGCTTGTATGTTAGTAGTTTAGCTTTCCTTAACTGAAATGCTACATGAATGTAATAATTAATGGCTTATATAATTACAATACTACTTTTTAAAGTTTCTCATTTTTGTTTTCAGTTCTGGTAATTTTCTTGATTTGGGGGAGCTTTTTGCAATGAAGCTGTAGTGTGACAGCATAGCAAATGTAACATTACCATTCCTGGCAATGCTTGTGAGACACATTGTATGGAGTTGTATAAAACTTCTCTGCTGCTTCCGATTTCTTAAAGATTTTAAAAGGTTAATTTTATGCTAGATCAGGTATTTTCTTCTTACCCAGCCATGATGGCTAAATCAAGGGAAAAGCAGTCAGGTCTCAGTCCACCTCACTATCCACTTATCTAGTCCATGCTCCCTCAGTTTCCTAATGGGGATGCTGTGGGAGACAGTGTCAAAAGCCTTGCTGAATTCAAGGTAGATGACATCTGCTGCTCTCCCCTCATCCATCCAACCAGTTATGTAATCATAGAAGGCTAGCAAGATTGGTCAAGCATGATTGGTAAGTCCATGTTGACCACTCCCAACTACTTCCTGTTCTTCAATGTGTTTAGACTTGACATCCAGAATAAGTCACTCCATCACCTTCCCAGGGTGCTTTGATGCCACTGTGGTTCAGGTTTGGCATTATATCATGTCAGCCATTCATAATGCTGGAAATGGCTGTTTCGAGTAGTAGCCAATAACTCTTTAGAGACCTTGCATATTTTACTGTGGTTTAAGGGGATGAAATACTGCATGCCACTGCAAATTTAGTTCACTTACCTGGACTGGAATAGATATTTCTGCTCAATTAGCTGTTACTGTTTTCAAATTC